GCCCGCCCGTAGGAGAAGGTGAGGGCCCACGGCCGCATCAGTGGGCACGTGTTGATGGCGTTGAGGTTGATGGAAGCCTCCTCCTCACTCTGACCCCCGGACAGGAAGGTGACACCTGCAGAGAGCGGGGTTATGGCATCAGGGGGGCCACAGGGCATCCCCCTCCTGGTCCCCACCACGTCCCAGTGCTGGTACCTGGCACAGCTGGGGGCACGGTGCGGCGCAGGGCGGTGACAGTGGCCATTGCGATCTCCTCAGGGCTGTACTTGGTGGGGCAGGAGTGTCCGGGGGTCACCATGTTGGGCTTCAGCAGGGTCCCCTCCAGGTAGACGTGGTGGTCACTCAGGGCCTTGTAGACAGCTGCCAGCACCTGGGAAGGATGGGCAGCGTGGAGTCCCCCGGCACAGCATGGCATAGCACGGCATGGTGCCCACTCCACTACTCACCCCACCACTCACCTTCTCCGTCACATACTGGCACCGCTTGAGGTCATGGTCACCATCAGGCAGGATCTCCGGCTCCACGATGGGCACAATGCCGTTCTGCAAACACCAGGCAGATGCCATCAAGGGGATGTCCCTGGGCATCGCCCTGGCCCCATGGCAATGTGGGCCAATGTCTGGACCTGGGGGGGGCGATGCCCAACCCTGAGGTTCAATGTCCACCCTTGCCAATGATGGTCACCACAGTGGGGTGATGCCTGGCCCCATGAAGTGATGCCCAGCCCCATGGGGTGATGCTCAACCTGCAAAGGTCAATTCTTGGCCCCCTGGAGCAATGCCCGTGTTTGTGGGGTGATGCCCAGCCCCATGGATTGATGCCTGGCCCCATGGGCGATGCCCGCCCCATGGGGCAATGCCTGGTCCTGGGGGGCAATGCCCATCCACGCAAGGTGTTACCCAGCCCGTGGGGTTGATGTCCAGCCTCATGGAATGATACCCAGGCATGGGGGCAACGCTGAGCCCCACGAATCTGTGGGGCAATACCTGGCCCCTAAGGTCAATGCCCACCCCATGGAGAGCTGCCCGGCCACAGACACGTACCTGCTGGCAGATGCTGGCATAGCGGGCCAGGACATTGGCGTTCTCCATGATGGCGAGCGCGGAGGGGGTGTTGTCACTGATCTTCAGCACGCAACGCCACTTGGCAAAGTCGGCTCCATCCTTCTTGTACTGGGCACAGCGCTCCGACAGCCCGTCCAGACC